AAGCCAGCACTGCTCTGGGTTCCGCAAGGGTGTTGCTGTCCCCACCCCGCCTCCTTTAGCCACATGCCTGTAACAGACTCCCAGCGAGCCCTGTGTGTCACAGTAGAGCTGTGTGTGCTCTGATCAGTTTTCATTGGCTGATTACTGGCAATAGATTGCCAGGCCTTTCTCCCGAGGTGCCTGGCGTGGGGGCGGGGGTATGGACCTCAAACCTCCAGCCTTCAGGTTATCGGCTGGGTGTGTTAACTCTTCGCTCATTTTGCTCTCCGTGAAAACAAGCGTTCTGGGGAAGCCGGACACTGCGCGTATGCACGCTCCGCAGGCCAGCGTGGGCTGCAGCGGGTGAGCCACCGGAAGGGACCTAGAATCTGATGCCCATCCGGGCACGGATGGACCGCGGAAACCTGATGCCGAATGGGCGCCGTCAGAGTGTGGGTCCCATCGTGGGAAAGACCCAGGGCAGGAGGAAGCCCGAGGTGCGCCACCCCTCTGCTAACTAGAACGTTGGTGGCTCAAACCCTGCCAGAAGCTCCTGGGAGACCTGCAGCCAAGGAAAGGTCTGGAGGCAGCTCTACCTTGGCGGGGGGGTGGGGGGCGCGGTCACTATGTGCCCAGCCGACAGCAACATCCAGAAGAGGCGAGCCCCTCGGCCGACCAAAGCTGGTAGGGGTGAGGGAGGGGGTGGAGAGGGGGCGTGGCCACCTGTGAGCACACCTTGTGTTTCTAAAATGGTGTGCGGTGAGGGTCACTTCTGGGGGGCCTACTCAGCCCTTGTGCTGCATGCTCCCAGCGGGGGGCTTCGTGGCTGTGTGATTGTGAAGCACCCGCAAGGGGTCCCCCAGGTCCACTTGGTCACTGAAGACCAGGTCCCAGGGCCTGGCCGGGGCTCCACAGGCCTGGCGCTGCATGGCAGCACCTTCTCAACTTCTAAAATCTCACTCGCACGTGGCTTGTCGTGACTGCTGGGTTTTGTGCCCGAGGTGCCCCTCACCCCTCTCCCCAAGACCCTGAGGGGCTTGGACCTGCCTGCGTAATCAGGTGGCCTCAAAGTCAGTAGAGGGACATGGGTCAAGGATACCTGGTGTAGGGGGACACCAGGCTGGTCCCTGGGCTGGAGTGGTCGCCATCTTGAATTTCGAATACTTTGGGCACACGAGATAGCCCCCACCCCCCACCTTTTCACCTTCCGAGGCCCTCTGCATTGAGCTCTGCCTCGGGGATACTGTAGGGGTGAGTCCTACCTTCTTGCTCTGGTAGTAGTCGCAGAGGAGCGAGTAGGGCAGGGTGCACAGGGTGGAGAAGAGCACCCCGTAGGTGACGCACAGGGACAGGACCACGTAGAGGTTCCGCGAGAGCGTGGCCAGCCCGGTTCCCAGTCCGAAGGCCAGGTAGGCGATGAAGTAGAGCGTGCGCACGCTCAGGTGCTCCTCCAGCTTCTCCAGGGCGGCTGCGGGGGGAGGGGGTGGTGAGGCCAGACCCGAGGCCTCGGAGGGCAGGGGGTGGTGGTGGTGGGGGGTGCTTCCCGGGCCTCTTCTTACCCCTCCCCCTCCAAGAAAGCTGTTTTGCGGCCACCTCCTTCGCAGAAAGTCGGTTTCAAGAATCCCTGAGCCAGTTTCCAAGTCCGCTTCAAGTCCCCCAAAGTGCTCTTGGCACCCCAGAAGTCTCTCAGTGCCCCTTGAAACGCCTGTTTCAGGTCCCTCCCAATAAGTTTGGCTCAGTGTCCTTTAACCTTGGTTTTTGGGATCCCCAAAAAAAGTTGTTTGAAACTCCTTTAAAGAGTCATTTGCAGACACCCTCAAAAAAGAAAAAGGAAAAAACTTGGTAGAAGAAGGGGGTACGTAGGGGTGCCCGTTTTCCATCCCACCTCCCCATCTGGCAAACAAAAGGGAGAGGTTTTTTTTCTAAAGTTGGGTCTCCCTCTCGACCTCAGAACCCCCACCCACACCCTCACTGTGGTTTCACCGCCCCCATCCACACCCGGGGAACCCTGCTGTGCCTTGAAGTTCTTGTTTCCCGGGACGGGGCCTTTCTCAGCCCCATTTTCTGGGGGTCAGAGGGGGCGGCAGGTGGATCCCCCATGCAGACGCCCGGGATGAAGTGGGGGGCGGAGGAGAGGCTGGTTTTGGGGCTCCCCTTCCCCCTCCTTCAATAGCAGGAGTCAAAGATGTTTTCAAAGTTGCTTAAAAATAATTCCCGGATACATCGTGGCAATGAAGCCATCTCGGGTGTTTTTTTTCTTTTCGAGTTCGAGTTGG